TCCCTTCCTCCTGCTAGCCTGCCTCATAAGTTTTACATCCAAAGTTACTGCCCCCTGGGAAAGAGGTTTTCATTTTTTATTTCTTGTTTTTTTTTTTTCTTTTGTTTTTGTTGTTGTTCATTTTGTTTTTTTCCTTTATCCTGTTTCTTTATTCAGAAAGAAACTCACTGGCTGGGATATTTATAAGCAAGAAATGTAGCAAAAGAGGCCCCAGTCAGGGCACACACAATAATCAACCAATGAAGAGACTTCTCGTCAAGATGGCAGCGTGGGCAGACATGGATCGTCTCTTCACACCACAACATCAAAATTACAAATAAAATATAGAACAACCACCACTCAGTACCATCTGAAATCGAGTTGAATGGAAGTCTGACTGACAACAATGGAATTAAAAAAACCACATCCATCCAGTCTAGTAGGAGGGCCACAGACAAGGTCCCTCACCCACGTGTGATGGATAGAAATTTAGGTGGAACATCTTGGGAACAAGGAGACCAAGCCCCACACTAGGCCCCAGCCCAGGGTTCCAGTGCCAAGAAGATAAGTCTCCAAAACTTATGGCTGCAAATACCAATGGAGTTCAAGTCAAAGGAAGAAATTCTGGAGTCTCAAGCAGTTCCTCTTAAAGAACCCACACACAGACTCACCTACTCAGACTCACTCCCTGTGAGCTCCAGCACTGGGGTGGTGGCTTGAAGGGTACCAGTGGTACGCCAGGAGAAGCTAAGTGTCTGGCATCAAGGTGAACACAACCCGTTTTCCGTTTTCTGAGCCCTCCCCCTGCAAAGCCACAGAGGCAGCAGGTTGGTGCCATATTTGAGACTCCAACAACCAGGCTAACCCTGTCTGACCGGCCCTAGAGATTTCTGGAGACTACACTCCACCCAATTTACAGACCCACCCAAGCTGCTTTTCCATATGAATGGCTGCTCTTGGCTCAAACTATACAACCTCCTAAATCATCTCAAGTCAGAAACAGCTGGCTTCAGTCTGACACTAGCAGCAGCCAGCCTAGATTCACAGCTTGGCTTCACCTGGAAATCTCCAAGCCCAGCACAAGTAGCTGATATCTCAGATTGCTTTATAGCTCAGGCAGGGTGGCCCTAGGCAAAACAGAGGTGGGGGCTGACCTTGTCCTGCACCACCTGGGATACCCAGAGCCAGTGAGTGCACCCAGTGAAGAGCTACGGACCATGTCAGAGGACCACCACCCTGCCCCTGCACAGCTGATCCTACACAGAGGGCAGAGGTTGGTGGTACATGGTCACAGCCAATCCTTGTAGCTGACTGGTCTGGGTAAATCCCTCCCATTCACCTGCCAACAGCAACCAAGGCTCAACTACAAGAGGAGGGTGTACTCAGACTACAAGAAGGGTGCACCTCAAGTACCTAGCTTGGGTGATAGGGAAGGCTGTGCCCTGGACCCTACAGGACACCTACTACGTTAGGCCACACTACCAAGACACAGAGTCATAGCAGCTCCGCCTAATATATAGAAACAAACACAGGGAGGCTGCTAAAATGAGGAGACAAAGAAACATGGCCCAAAGGAAAGAACAGACCAAAACCCCAGAAAAAGAGCTAAACGAAATGGAGATAAGCAATCTATCAGATGCAGAGTTCAAAACACTGGTTATAAGGATGCTCAAGAACTCAGTGAGGATCTAGCCCTGGCTGGTATGGCTAAGTGGATTGAGTACCAGCCTATGAACCAAAGGGTCACCAGTTCAATTACCAGTCAAGGAACATGCCTAGGTTGCAGGCCAGGTGCTCAGTTGGGGGCTTGTGAGAAGTGACCACACATCAATGTTTCTCTCTCTCTCTTTCTCCCTCCCTTCCCCTCTCTCTAAAAGAAATTAATAAATCTTTAAAGGACTTAAAAAGAAAATTTGAAAATTTTAAAAAGAACTTAGTGAAGATCTCAACAGCATAATAAAGATCCAGTCAGAAACAAAGGATATACACTAATTGAAATAAAGAACAATTTACAGGGAAACACCAATAGAGTGGATTAAGCTGAGAATCAAATCAATGGTCTGGAACATAAGGTAGCAAAAAACAACCAGTCGGAACAAAAAAATCCAAAAAAATGAGGATAGTATACACAGCCTCTGGGACAACTTCAAGAGGTCCAACATTCACATCATAAGGGTACCAGAAGGAGAAGAGAAAAAGCAAGAAATTGGAAATCTATTTGCAAAATAATGAAAGAAAACTTCCCTAATCTGGTGAAGGGATACACAAGTCCAGGAAGCACAGAGAATCCCAATCAAGATGAATGCAATGAGGCCCACTCCAAGACACACCATAATTAAAATGCCTAAGTTTAAAAATAAAGATAGAATCTTAAAAACAGCAAGAGAAAAGCAGGTAGTTACCTACAGGGGAGTTCCCATAGGAGCGTCAACTGATTTCTCAAAAGAAATTTTGCAGGCTAGAAGGATTGGCAAGAAATATTCAGAGTCATGAAAAGCAGAGACCTACAGCCAAGATTGCTCTACCCAGCAAAGCTATCACTGATAATCAAAGGGCAGATAAAGAGCTTCTTCCAAGACAAGAAAAAACTAAAGGAGTTCATTGTCACCAAACCATTATTATATGAAATGTTAAAGGGACTTATTTAAGAAAAAGAAGATGAAAACTATGAACAATAACATGGCAAAAATAATACATATCATCAAAAATTGAATCTAAAAAACTAACTAAATTGAATCTAAATTGAATCAAACAAACTAAGCAAACAAGAACAACAGAGACAGAGTCATGGCACAGAAAGCATTTTGATGGTTGCCAGATGGTTGTGGGGGAATGGTTGAAGAGGTGAGGGGACAAAGAAGTACAAATAGGTAGTTACAGAATAGCCATGGGGATGTAAAGTACAGTAGAGGAAATGGAGTAGCCACAGAACTTATACAAATGACTCATTGACATGAACAATGGTGGAGGGATTGCTTGAGGGAGTAGGGGTGCTGGATGGAGGAGGGCAAAAGGGGAAAAATCAGGACAACTGTAATAGCATAATCAATAAAATATAATATAAAAAAGAATCAACTAATGAATGCATAAATAAGTGGAATGACATCGATGTTTCTCTCTCTCTCTCAAATCAATAAATACAAGAAAATTTTTAATGTGGTAAAAGGTGGCAAATTGGAAAATGGAGGCAAAAAGTTTCACGCTATCGCCCTGACTGGTGTGGCTTAGATGATTGGGCATCGTGCACAAAGCAAAAGGTTCCATTCCAGTTGGGTCACATACCTGGACTGCGGGTTCCATCATGGGTTGGGGCACGTGCAGAAGGTGCCTGATCAATGTTTCCCTCCCTCTCTTTCTTTCTCCCTTCCCCTCTCTCTAAAAATAAATAAACAAAATCTTTAAAATGTTTCATGCTATCCATAATTATATTCAAGGACACAAAAAGGAAGTGTCTAAGGGTAATGTCATACCCCCTGACCTAAAGCTGGATAACATATTTTTATAAGCTTTTGTTATGATAACATCTTCACACATCTGCTTCACAGCATTGTCTCTGAGCCCTCTTACCAGATACAAAGTGAAATAAATACAATGGGCTGAGCTTGTCACTGATAGCTGGAGGGAGAAAAGTCATCCTTTTTCTTTCTAAACTTTTGTTTCTACAAATGTGGTATTGTTATGACATACACAAGTATGAAGAGGGTAACCACATGCCAACAGCAAACATGGCTGTTATGACTCTTATTCTGTATTTTTTTAACTAAATACAGAGCTTGATCTTTTTTTAAATCAACATTAGGAGGCTCATCAGTTACACAGAAGAGAAACTGACACCGAAATTGACATGGGGGTGTAGGTACACATACTCTCCAATTTCCTAAGCAAATCGGATGCTTCTTTACAGTGCAAACAAACTATTGCAACATCAGTCCTGATTTCAATTAAAGAAGCATTCATTCAGCGCTTACTGTGTGTCCGGACACAACCAGGAATTTGTATCACCAAGACAAAGGGCCAGGTGTCCTGAGACAGACAGGAGCCCAACAACAGAGCATTGCCAGTTGGACCAGTGTTTTATGGAAAAGAGCACAGTACATTAGCTTAATTTAAAAAAAAAAAAAAAAAAGGTCTTTATTTCAATCCAAGTACACTTTCTGCCGGACAGGCCAAGAGAAATTTATAGGAGCAGAGGGGGTGGACCTCTGGTAGGATTACAATAAAATTAAATTTTTGTGGCCTGGAGATTCCTCTCCCTTTTCAGCACTTTCAACTCTAAAAAATGGAAAAGTAGCAAGCTGGCAGCAGGGCTGATTTTTGTTGCTGAGGCACAGGATTATGCTGCTGGATTACTTCTCCGGTTCTCCTAACCTGACCTATCTAATGAACAGCTAAAGGGAGGAAAGAAAAATTACTTCTGAGCTCAGAAAACCAACGTTTAAAAAGTCCAGATTCTAAAATCCACAAATTTCTACAAAGTCACTTAGGTATTCACTTAGGGAGGGACTCTGTCTGCTTCAACCAAAGATATTCTAACCAAGACCTTAATCTGGTTGCTTAACCTGCAGGAGCTTAGAAGGCACACAGCAGAAGGGGTACACTGTCAAACAGGGCCGAGACCTGAAGACTGTCAACTGTAATTGTCATGGCTGGGGCAATTCAATGATTCCCAAGCACGGCCCAGTCTAAGGCCCATTCATTCATTCATTCATTCACTCAATCAACGTTCATCAGAAACCTCCTCTGAGCTCCCTCAGTTCCAGGTAAGACTACCCTCCCTGACTTTAAGGTCTACAGAGCTACCAAAGCTCCTGATGAGACCTTGCCCCTCACCCCAACCCCCAGTGCAAATCTCCTAAGAGAACAGAGACCCTTGGAAGGTGTACATATTAGTTTCCAGCGGCTGCTGTAACAAAGTACCACAAACCATGTGGCTTAAAGACAAAAGAAACAGACTTGGTGGCGGTCACTGAGCAGACTGGACTCTTCTTGTTGGCGCACCTCACTCTGCTTCCTCCTCAACCATGTGTGACAAACCCAGTGTGGCCAAGATTGAGAGATTTGATAAATCAGAACTGAAAAAGACAGAAATGCAAGAGAAAAATCTACTGCTTTCCAAAGAAATTATTGAACACGTGAAGCGAGTAGGCAAATCCTAATGAGGGCACACCACCAATATGCACCATACACACCACAAGCATTGCCTTCTTATTTTAATGCTTTTAGCTTTTTAACTTTGTGAGATGCGGAGAGGACGGATCAGTGTAAATGATTGTGCTGCCCCCCTTCACATCAGAGCACTACTGACAGTGAAGGAGAAGAACTTGGTGAAGAAGCTGGTGGGACGACAGTGAAATCTGGAGTAAAAACCAAGCTGGTCCAAGGTGTCATGCAGGCTGTAAAATGCAGTTTAATCAGAGGGCTCCTTTTTGTGTGTGGTTAAAATAATTGTAATTATTGGAATGTACAATTTTTTAACTATACAAGTAAAAAGTTTTAAAACCTGAAAAAAAAAAGACAACAGAAAACTATTCTCTCAGCTTTGAAGGCTACAAGTACAAAATCAAGGTGTTGGCAGGGCCTGGAGGCCCTGGGGAAGAACCCTTCCTGCCTCTTCCTGTTTCCGGTGGTCCCAGGCCTCCTTGGCTTGCAAATGCATTAATTCTAATCTCTGCCTCCATCTTCACACAGCCACCTGTTCTGTGTCACTGTGCCTTCTCTTCTTCAAAGGACACCAGTCATTGGATTTAGGCCTGTCCTACATCCAGAGTGGTTTCTTCTCAAGACCCTCAACTAGTCTGCATCTGCAAAGTCCATATTTCCAAACAGGGTCACTTCTGAGGCTGCAGGTGGACACAAATGTTGATTCTGTATTGGAATATTGACTCAACCAATGACACAGAAGGCCATCAGAACAAGTCCCCTTTATCTCGCATGCCCAGAAGTCCAAGTCACCCCCGACTTTTATCCCTGTCCCCACTCTGACCTTGACTCTGCACATGGCAAAGAGGCACAAATTATATCACTCCCCTACTTATAACTCTCAGTGGCTCCCTTTGTAAGAAGGCCATGTCCCACATTCCTGGTTGGGCCTCAGCCCGGTTTGCCCTTTTGCACCCTCCTACTCCCCCACCAACCTTCCTTCCTTCTCCCGCCCTTGCCTCGCTACCTTCCACTGGGCTCCTGGCACACGCAGCTTTACCTTCACACATCTCCCTGTGCAAACACACCCAGGTCACTCCAGCATTAGCTGCTTCCCCCTTGTCTGGATGGCTGTCCTCCAGATTGTCACTTGGCTCAGACTATTGTTCAAATGTTAAGTCCTTGGAAAAGCCTTCTTCGTCCATCCTATTTGCAATAGCACCTGCATCCCAGCACAACTTAGGTCACTTGACTGCATTACCCTAATTTGATTTTTCTTGCACTTAAGACTATCTGAAGTAATTTACTTCTGTATTTGCTTATTTACAGTCTGTCTCCTCCAGTAGAATGTCAGCCCCATGAGAACAGGGGCTTGCCTGGAGGGGTTCGCAGTATAGTGAGGGCATACAGACTTGTCGACAGCAGTAAAACTTAAGAGGCCAGACACTGTTGGGTAGATTTTACCTTCACAACAATCCTACAGGGCAGGTGTTCTTACCATTCTCGTTTTACAGATGAAGTCACTGAGGTTAAACAACTTGCCCAAGGGAAGGCAAAGGTCAAACCAGGTGGTCGTAGATCTGTGCTTTGGACTTCTAGCCTGCCTCCCAAACACAGATGGCAGCTCTTGGCCAAGAGGCATATAAAGGTTATGTAATAATAGCTCCGTGGGGGCTGGGAGAGGAAACTCTGCTTGCATGTGGGTGGGAGCTTCCCTTTGCTGCTCAGTCACCAGGCAGAGGGGGCGATCAACATACGCAGAGAGATTGTTTCCGGTCATCCTATGTGAGCACAGGGAGGGGACAGAGGACCCTGGCCCCATAGCTGAGGTGCGAGCATAAGTCCAGCAGCTGCAGCTCACTTTGATCTGCAGCCCTGGTTCTATGCAAACACCTATGTGTCCAGACCTGCTCCCTCAGTCTGCAGCTAAGACCTCTACATTCTCTGCTCCGTACAGGTAGCTCTGCTCCCCACTGGCTTCCCTTGGTCTGGGATCGACTAGGCCCATTTCTGACACTGACAGCAAAGAGGGGACAGAAAAATTACAAAAAGCAGAAGAGGGACAACTATTCAAAACAACTAAAGGGACATCTAAAGAAGCAAATGGCTCTTTGGCCAAATATCTGCAAGTCTTGCTCCCACAATTCATTCAGGTCTCAGTTCAAGTGTCACCTTATCAAAGGCCTTCCCCCATCACCCTCCCCATCCCCACAAGCTGCCCCTTTATCCTGCTTTGTTTATCAATCCCTGACATTCCATTCGTATGTTTTGTAAGTTTACTTTATTGTCTGGGTTCCCCTTCCTGCTGAGGGCAGGGCGTTTGTCCCAGTCACTGGTGTGTATGTGCAGTGCCCAGAGCCCCGCGTGACACACAATAATCACTCCATAACCAGCGGTGAGCTCAGTGAGCACAGACCCGCACACCTGGAAGCCAAAGGCAGATCGCACTCACTCTATGTAGCAGCTGATACTGACAAAGATCTCTCAAGGAATCAAGGCAGAGAGAGGTATTCATCTTTTTTTTATGATTAAATGAGATGTTCACAAAACCTGTAACAAAATTTTCTAGAATATAGCAAGCCCACAAAAACGTTAGCTATTATTATAGAAAACGCTCTAGAAAGATTCGCATGATTTTGGTAAACCTTCCTTATCAGGTACACGCAGCTCACTTCCTGAGAGTCCCAGAGAGAGAGCGCTTCCTGGAGTTTTCCAGGATGGCTAACCACTGGGGAAATCGGAGGTGGCGTGGGTGTGGTCAGTGCCTTCTAAAACTGAAAATAGAAGAGACTCTAAATATGCTGCTAAAGAAATAAGCATACAGTCCATTGTCAAAAAAGTCGTGACTCGTAGAAAAACGAGAAAAGGTTTTCCGAGTGACGCGTGTGGAGCCCGTGGAGACATCATGTGTGGAGGGATGTGTCAACTATGCATATCCCCATGTTTGTGCTTCTAGGGTCAGTTGTGTTAAGGGACAGATCTCTATTAGTATTCAAGGCCACAGAAACTAGTCTGTTTTACAAATCACCATGTAATTAAACAGAAGGCGCATGAGATCTATTTTAAGCACATCCTTTCTTTATTCATAGTATTCCACTCAATGTCCAAGTCCTCTCTAGCCAAAACCACAACTTAAAAACTGCAAACTCACTGTACTATGAAGGAATGCTTTCTAATTGCACCCTAAAACCAAACTGCTGGACAAGCTTGGTCCCTGTCATGAAGGATGGCATAAGGAGGCAGACAGGTTAAAAGATGGGAGAAAAGGTGGGAAGATGGGTAAAGCTTGAGGGTAAGACAAGACAGCAAACTCTAAAAAAAGTGTTGTTCATATTAACGATTGTTAAAGGAACATTTCATTCTAAGTAGAAACACATGATGAACTTTCAACGGTCCTAGTTTTCAGATCACCAAGCAGCAGAGAGAGTTAATGATCCTGAGATGCTAACACCTATTAGCTCCTCTGTGCCTGGAACTGTCTTAAACTCTTCATAAATCTTATCTTTACACCTAAAAGGTACCCCTTTCCCAGACAGGCAAAATAAGCTTCAGAAAAGCGACTCAGCGCCCCCACGCCCCACAAAGTAGAAGGGATTCAGAGCTGGGAACGAAATGGTGCTGTTCCAGAGCAGTGCTCTTGGGGGCTACACGGATCACTCCTAAGCGCTGTCGTGCCACAACGTTTACCCAGGTTCATTGCCAAACAGAAAACACAAAGCAAGTGTAGTCTGTTTTCATAAAGGTGAATATATTCACTATTTGAATCCTGAAATTGTAACCCTCCTAATGTTTCATGTTTAAATATTCTTTCATAAAAGGGTATTTTGTCATGAAAATTCCCCCAAATCATAAAAACAAAATTCTAAATGAGAAATTAATAAAAGAATATAACAGCGCAACTTTTTTTAATCCTGGCCCGAGGTCATTTTTCCATTGCCTTTTTTTTTTTTTTTTTTTTAGAGAAAGAGGAACGGAGAAGAGAGAGAAACATTGACTCAAGAGAGAGGCACTGATTGGTTGCCTCTTGAACGCACCTGAATGGGGGATCAGACATTCAACCTTGGGATGTGCCCTGACGGGGAATGAAACCAGCAACCTTTCAGTTATGGGACAATAGGCCCTTAACTGAGCCACACTAGTCAGGGCTTACGGTATACGTTTTAAATATCCTTATTCTGTAACATAGAAAGTAGATAATCCTGCTCCGGCTGGTATGGCTCAGTAAATTGAGTGTTGGCCTAGAAACCAAAGGGTTGCTGGTTTGATTCCCAGTCAGGGAATGTGCCTGGGTTGTGGGCCAAGTCCCCAGTAGGGGGTTTGTGAGAGGCAACCACACATTGATGTTTCTCTCCATCTCTTCCTCTCTGCCTTCCTCTCTTTGTAAAATCAAAAACAAACAAATAAACAAACAAAAAAAGCCATATATGTATGGCCCTGTCCAGGTAGCTCAGCTGGCTGGAGCATCGTCCTGATACACCAAGGTGGTGGATTCAATCCCCAGTCAGGGCACACACAAGAATCCACCAATGAGTGCATACATAAGTGGAAAAACAAGCTGATGTGTGTGTCTCTCTCTCTCTCTCTCTCTCTCTCTCTCTTTCTCCCCCCTCTCTTTTTCTCTAAAAATTTAAAAACATAAATCATAAATGCATGTTTGTCCTGGGTCTCAGTATAAAATGAACTTCTTACTGTGGGTCACAGTCAAGCTTTAAAACCCTTTGTACTGTTTTTCTTAGGGTAATACATATTCCTTAAATTATAAGAAGAAAGTTTAAAATCATCTATAATCCAGCCACTCACTGATGACTGTAACTGGCGTTTGTACCTCCCAGGCAGCGCATGTTTTTGTATTATGCAGACACTAGCTAGACATGCTGGCACGAAACACTCCTAACTCCTCTAATGGAGCGGCATGATTGAAATAGAAAACTGACCCTCAATGGCAGTGTGCCACAAATGGGGGGGGGGGGGCGCGTCCTTGAAGAAGACCAACTAGTGTCACTTCAGGTGCTTAGAC